CTTCCTCCTACCACAGTGCTCCATCCATCACTTTTCCATTTCTGTGAGCTGTTTTCTACAGTAATGAAGTCTCTGGATCTCAGTAGATTATCTGGATGTAGAGAGCCAAACTGTGGCATGTCTACTCTTTATGTGTCTATAAAAGGGGCTTTGTCTTCCCCATCAGTAGGACATGAACATAGAGTAAAAGGCCCCTTCTGTCAGTGATCTGCTATCTCAGACACTGATTTGGCAGAAAATTAAAGGTGGTATGTCAAGCTAGTTCTGTGCTCATCTTAATTGATTGCTTCCATAATAGAGGACAATTGTGTTATCATTTGTGGTAACATGTATCATAAAGCATTCGATACACATTAGTAAATTGCTTATTACTAATTATTTATTAATAAATTACTCCAAGTTAAAAGGTCCAAAATGCATCACAGTTAATATCCAAAGTGCAGATTCATAAATTACAGTAGCTACAACTGTTCAAAGACACACCTTGTAAAAACTATGTTCTCTTCTACTAAGAGTTCTAAACTGTCTCAAGCTGAAATTATCCACTGAGTTTTATTGTTGTTTGTTCATATTTTTATCTCGTTAAGTGAATAGCAATGCTCATTTGGCATAGAAACAGGCCGATTGTAGTTTCAAGTCCACTCATGAATGGACTACTAAGGTACAGCCTGAGCATAGCCTAGGCCATGGTATCTTGTCAGCGTGCTAGCAGAAGCAGGAATCTAGTCTATGGTCCACAAACAAACCTTGTGAGAGATAGCATCACATGCATTGAGAGCCCACAAAGTAACCTGAGAGAGAGGGGTTCTGTGATGCTCTAGGAACAGATGATGACATGACAAGTGGAATCGGGGTACTAATTACATTGAGCACAAGAGTGACCATCAGTTACTACAGCATTAAAAAAGTTCTGTGGAGAAACTAGTGTCTTTCTTCGTGTGTGTGTGTGTGTGTGTGTGTGTGTGTATTTCTATGTTTTTAGTGGACCACATTCTTTTTTCACATGAAAAAAAGTGTTAAGGAAATTGTCACCAAACCTAATCAACTGATTGAAGGACAATTTAATGGCTGATGGTAAATCTCTAATGTATTTTAGGAAAACATTTGGTAAATGTTTTTATATGAATATTAAAGTATTACTTTTTAAAATATGCCACAGTGCAGTAAGACCAGCAAGACAGCTAAAATCCCTATTGAAGGAGGCTTTCCTGATTAAGAGAGGTAAGAGTAATGGTGAATACTTGACTACCAACTCCCTAATTTCAAAAACAGCTTGGTTTTTTTCAAAATATGAACAGAGGAAATAATATAGAAATGTAATTCTATCTTCTTTTGATCTGCCTTCAAATGGGTTTGGATTCAGAATTATTTAAGAAGTAGTTTCTGAGAAATTGTCAGTCTCAAACTTTATCATCTGAAACATGTTTGTTTATTTAATGTGAACCTCTGATGTACACGGTATCTTTGTATAAATAAAAAGATCTCTAACTATTCCACAGTATGTGTCCTTTATGGTCATGTAACCACAAGTTGGCTTGTTATAAATGGATTTTTTATTAAAACCACATTGTGTTTATGCTACATATTATTATATACATCAATGTCAATGTCAATAAGATGATCATGTTAAAAAACCAAAAATAAAGTATTCAATTATTTTAAGTTTTTTGAGAACTAAATGCTAATAAGTTTTTCTGGGTTTTGCTCCTTCTATAATTTCTTAATTTCGACATATTAGACAATTCACATATGGTATTATGTTTATCTTTAATTATCTGTTATTTAATCTGAATATATCTTGACAAAAATCTTGACCTAAGAAATAATAGGCTTGCCCAAAATTTAAAGAAATAAACGGACTTTGAGTCCTGTAGGCAGTTCGGGGGATTGAACACTGCTCTTATAAGCATTCTCCGATAGCGCACGCCCTATTGACTATATTGCCAGCACCTTTTTCCTTTGGTTTTATTAGTTAGTTTAAGATATGATGATACTTGGTTTATATGATGATAGACATAATTTCCAGAGCAATTTGCCACAATAGGAGGAAGGCTGAGAAAGTCTATCATTCTACAGTCGACAGCACATATTGGTGCATTGAGTATATGGTATCTATCTAAAAAATTGTTCATTTCTTTTACATTTTCCAATACTGTGTAGTACAGGTTTTGTAGTATGACCTAATGATTCTCTGAATTTCCTCAATGTCTGTTGTTATGTCCTTCTTTTCATTTCTGATTTTGTTAATTTGAATGATCTCTCTCCATCTTTTGATTAGTTTGGATAATGGTTTGTCAATCTTGTTGATTTTTTTTTCAAAGAACCAGCTCTTTGTGTCATTGATTCTTTGTATTGTTTTCTGTGTTTCTATTTTGTTGATTTCAGCCCTCTGTTTGATTATTTCTTGTCTTCTACTCCTTCTGAGTGAGTTCTTTTTTTTGGGGGGGGGTGGGGTGGAGTGTTATATAGATATCTGTTAAGTCCATGTGATTCTTTACATCTGTTAGTTCTATTATTTCTCTCTTAAGTTTCTGTCTGGTTGAACTGTCCATTGGATAGAGAGGAATGTTGAAATCTCCTACTATTAGTATGTGTGGTTTGATGTATGATTTAAGTTTTAGTAATGTTTCTTTTACTAAGAAACATTCTTTTAGTAAGATTTCTGTGGTGTTGTGGGTGTAGTTAGCTTCCTTGGGTGGAAGTTTTCCTACTAGTACTTTCTGTAAGGCTGAGTTTTTGGATATGTACTGTTTAAATATGCTTTTGTCATGGAGTATCTTGCTTTATCCATAGATGGTGAGTGAAAGCTTTGCTGAGTATAGTAGCCTGGGCTTGTATCCATAGTTTCTTAGTGTCTGCAACACATCTATCCAGGACCTTCTGGCTTTCATGGTTCCCATTGAGAAGTCAGGCATAATTCTTATAGGTTTGCCTTATATATTACTTGACCATTTTCCTTTGCACCTTTTAATATTCTTTCATTATTCTGTATGTTCTTTGTTTTGATTATTATATGGCTAGGGGATGCTATTCTTTTGATCCAGTCTATTTGGTGTTCTGTAAGCTTCTTGTGTCTTCATAAAGATATCCTTCTTTAGGTTGGGAAAGTTTTCTTCTATAATTTTGTTGAATATGTTTTTTGTGCCTTTGAGCTGGAATTCTTATTCTTCTACTCCTATTATTCTTAGTGTTGGCCTTTTCATGGTAGCTCAGATTTCCTGAATGTTTTGTGTTAAGAATTTGTTGGATTTAATGTTTTTTGACCAATGAGTATTTTCTTTATAGTATGTTCAGCACCTGAGAGTCTTTCTTCTATCTCTTATATTCCGTTGGTTATACTTGTCTCTGTAGCTCCTGTTCATTTACCCAGATTTTCCATATCCACAATTCCCTTGGTTTGTATTTTCTTTATTACATGTATTTCAGTCTTCACGTCTTCAACTGTTTCTTTCACTTGTTTGATTGTTTTATCATGGGTATTTTTGGGTTTCTTTGAGGGATTTATTCATTTCTTCCAACTTTGTCTTCTCTTCAATTTTTTAAGGGAGTTTTTCACTTCCTCTTTAAAGGTATTCATCATTTTCATAAAGTTATGTTAAAAGTCGTTTTCTTCTACTTCTGGGTTAGAATGGTCAAGTCTTCCTTTTGTGTGTCTACTGAATTCTCGTGTTACCATGCTGTGTTTTAGGATATTAGAGGAATTTTTGCATAGGCACCTACCATCTCTTCCTTCAAATGAGGCCAGCAGTGTCTTGGCATCTTGGTCCAATTTTTGCTGTGGCTGTCTCTTAGGTCTCCTGAGTATTGGAGCAAGCTGTGTTTCAAAATTCCACGGAGCTCGCAGGCTCTTGGGGCCGTCAGTGTTGGAACAAACTGTGTTTTAGGGTTCCACAGAGCTTGCAGGTGAACAGGAACCACCTTGGTTTTCATTGTGGTAAAGAGGGTTGATGGAGGTCTCCCACATGCTAAGCCTCATTGGCAGTCCATTTGTTGGTGGGACCAACACTCTGCCTCAGCCATAAGCAATGTCAAGGAAGTTATATTACAGTTTATATACTGTGAACAAAATAAACAAGAATTTGCTTTATTCCTTTTCAGAGGGCGGGCTTTTAGCATGCAGTGGGAGCTTGATACATTGTCTGTGGGAACTCTGATGTTTCCTGTAAGGTACTACTGCCATGGAATTGCTGCTTGGTCCCCATGTTTTTCCATGCTTCTCGCCCTAGAGATACAGTTCAGGGTGCATAACTACTGCAGGGGGCTTTGCAATAGCTCTTACCATGGGAGGTGATAGCTACTAATGCTGAACTTCTTTGCACTGCCCATTAGCAAAGGACCAGAAGCTAGAACTGAGGGGCTTCTGCAGCTTCCTCAGAAGCACTTGAGGAGAGTACACACCTTGACCCCTCTCTGGAGCTTTGCCAACCTATCAGTTTGAAATTCTTTGCAGGGGCCATTGTCCTTGTTCTGCTTGTGGGTTTGTTTTGTTTTGTTTTAATTTTGCTATGCTGCAAAGGGCAGTCACCATAGACTTAGCTTCCTTGTGTCTGGAATTTTCATCTTCAATGGAATAAGGTCAACTCAAACCTTAGAGAAACTCTTTTCACTTCCATACAAGATGAGTATACTCACTTACAATTCTCCTACCACCACTAGTCCAGAGACAAAAGCAACAGCAGCAACACTGTGCTACTACTTTAACACTTCAGCTTGTGATATTGATTCTGGTTAAGATGTCTTATAGTGCTCAAGATCATAGGTGTTTTGTACACCAATTTATTATAAGTAGTAACTTTTGATAAGTTTGTCTCTATTTGAAACATACAAAGAAGTCTCAATTAAGAGTTATCTATATTTGTTGTCTATAAATCAATATTCACTTTAAATTTTAGCCTCATTTGGGGACAAAGTATATGTAGTAAAAAAAATATTGGCCTTGGCATTTAATGCTCTTATATTTTACAATTGATTATAACATATTTTGTTTTTCTACTTTATAGGTAGTCGAAGACTAAAAGACGAGGTCTCACTCAAGTAAGAATGTCTGGATTTTAAAATACACTGAGTATGTAGCAAATATAAAGTTTAGAAGCTGCCACCATGTTTTTCTCTGTGTAAGGCAGTTTCAGCTTCTTGATTATATGCTAATCAAAGCTGAATATTTATCTATGGAGAGGCATATAGTTTTAAATAACTGATTATTCCTCTGATACAGCATGAAATGCTATTAGGACTCCCTGTCTGTGGAGGTGATTCAGTGGGTAAAGTGCTGGCTGTGTATATGGGAAAATGGGAGATGGATTCCCAGGGTCTATATGAGGCCTGTTGGTCTTGTGTGCTTCTAAAATTCCGGTGAGGTTATGATGAGATTGCACATGGACAGAGAGCATCCCCTGACATTTTCTGGATTGCTTGCCTGAGGTTTGCATTCATGAGTGAGAGACCCAGCTAGTAAACTAATGCTTAAGGTTAGGGTCAACTCCCAAGTCTATATTCCAATCACCACACCTACACACTCGCATGTATTTATCTTAAATCACACATACATAGAAATACACAGCATATAACATATTTTGCACATATATGTAAAAGGATCCATTTTCAAGTCATTAATCTTTTTCACTAATTTGTTTGTTTGAGTTGTCTGTGGGAAGAATATGAATAATATGGCAAGGTTCAAAACTCTCCAAGGCTTTGCTAAAGATTACCTCAGAATGGCCTTATAGAAATGCTTCTGTCCAGCAGGTTAATAGCTCCCTTAACGAGTTACCCAACTGTGGTGACTCACAAGGTAGGTGAAGTTAGAAAAACAAACTGGTTGGTCCAGAGCTTACCAAGTGGAATCGGGGTACTAATTACATTGAGCACAAGAGTGACCATCCGTTACTACAATTTCAAAAAAATATCTATCTCTGTCTGTCTTTCTCTCTTTCTCTCCCTCGTGTGTTTCTATGCTTTTGGTGGACTAATTTCTGTAGACTAAATCCTTTCTTTCACATGGGAAAAGTTTTAAAAAAGTGTCACCAAACCTAATCAACTGATTGAAGGACAAGTTAATGCTTGACTGTAAATCTCTAATGTATGTTAGGAAATCAAACAGCAAATAATCAAAGCATTTGGTAAATGTTCTTGTATGAATATTAAAATATTACATTTTAAAATATGCAACAGCGGCATACGACCACCTGGAGAGCTGAAACCAATACTTAAGAAGTCTCTTCAGACCAGTGGAGGTAAGAGTAATCATGAATACTTTGCTGCTACTTCCTTAGTTTCAATAGCAACTTAATTCATTCAAAAAAGGAACAAAGTAAATAAGATATAAATGTAATTTCATTTTTTAAAATTTGCTTCCTAATGTTTTTCACATTCAAAATTATTTCAGAAATGATTTTCTGAGAAATTTCAGTATCAAACTATATTATTTGAACCATGTTTATTTATTTAACATGAGCCTCTGATGCACACAGTATCTTTGTATAAATAAAAGGACCTCTAACTAGTCCACAGTATGTGTCCTCTAGAATTATGTGACAGCAATTTTGCTTGTTATAAAATGAATTTTTCTTTCATTTTTATAATAAATATATTACATTTATGCTACATATATATTAGTGTCAATGAAAGGTGATCATGTAAAAAACAGAAATACAGTATTCAATTACTTTCATTAAGGATTTTGAGAACTAAATTAACTACATTTTTATGGATTTTGTTCCTTTCTATAATTTCCCTACTTAGACATATTAGAAAATTCACATATGGTTTTGTGTTTATCTTTAATTATCTGCTATTTATTCTGACTATTTCTTGGCATAAGAAATAATAGGCTTGGTCAACTTTTTTAAAAAATGGACTTTGAATCCTGTACGCAGTGCTGCAGATTGAACATTGCCATTCTAAGCATTCTAGACTAGCGCTCACCCTAATGGCTATACCGCCAGCGCCTTTTTCCTTTGGTTTTATTAGTGTAGGATATGGTGATTGTTGGTTTATATGCTGATAGACATAATTTCCAGAACAATTTACCACAGTAGGAGGAAGGCTGAGAGAAGAGCATCATTCTGCAGGGGACAGCACTGACTGGTCCACTGAGTCTGGATAAGTTTCTAAGAGTGGGAAGAACACTACAGAGTTTGGGCTCTCAGCTGTCACCACAGTGTCTTTCACACCTACCTTGCCTATAGAGAGCACAGCATCAAGTGAATAGGAGTACATGCAGTGTAGAGGGTCTGAAAGACCTTCTTCCCATAAGAGAAGAGGTGAAGAGAGTCAGTATTATTGTAATGTGGGTGACTGTCCTTTACATTATTTCCACACTAAATTTCCTTTGTGGTGATGATGGTTGATGGAGGTCTCTCACATGCTAAGCCTCATTGGCAGTCCATTTGTTGGTGGGACAAATGCTCTGCCTCAGCCATAGGCAATGCCAAGGAGGTTATACTGCAGTTTCCATACTGTGAATGAAATAAGCAAAAATTTGCTTTATTCTTTTGTAGAGGGCAGGCTGTTAGCATGCAGTGAAAGCTGCTCACTTGAAGCTGTGTATGTGTGGACACAAACGTTTCCTGTGAGGTACTACTCCCATGGAATTGCTGCTTTTCCCCCGTGTTTCTTCCATGCTTCTCGCCCTGGAGATACTGTTCAGGGTGCATAACTACTGCAGGGGGCTTTCCCATAGCTCTTACCATGGGAGGTGATAGCTGCAAGTGCTGAGCTTCTTTGCACTGCCCGTTAGCAAGGGACCAGAAGCTAGAACTGAGGGGCTTCTGCAGCTTCCTCAGAAGCACTTGAGGAGAGTACACACAATGCCCTCTCTCTGTGTGTGTAGCTTTGCCACCCTGGCATCTGGAAATTCTTTGCCCTTGGTTTACCTGTGTTTCTTAAATTTTGATATACTGCAAATAGCAGTCCTCATAGACTTAGCTTCCCTGTGTCTGGAATTTTCATCGTCAACAAAATAAGTTCAACTTAATCTTTAGAGAGGCTCTTTTCACTTCCATGCAAGATGAGTATGCTCACTTGCAATTCTCCTAACACCACTAGTCCAGAGACAAGTCCAGCAGCAGCAACACTGTGCTACCAATTAACACTTCAGCTTGTGATATTGATTCTGGTTAAGATGTCAGTTTCTCTGTTTGATAATGCTCATGATCATAGGTATTTTGTATACCAATTTATTATTAGTATCGACTTTTGATAAAATTGTCTCTGTATTTTAAACATACAAAGAAGTGTAAATTAAGAATTATCCTTGTTTTTACTGTCTATAAATCAGTATTCACCTTGAAGGCTACACAGATTCAAAGTATATGTAGTAACGAAGCATTGGCCTTGGCATTCAATGCTCTTTTTTTCTACAGTTGCTTATAACATATTTTGCCTTTCTACTCTGTAGATAATGGAAGAAATCAAGACCAAATCCCACTTAGGTAAGAATGTCTGGATTTTAAATACAGTATGTAGAGAATATAAAGTTCAGAAGCTGGCACCAAGTTTTCCTCTGTGTTTTTTAGCTTCTTGATTATTTGCTAATGAAAGCTGAATTATGCCTCAGATACAGCGTGCAATGCTGTTAGGACTCCCTGTCTGTGGCGGTGATTCAGCAGATAAAATGCTGGCTGTGCATATGGGAGAATGGGAGATGGATGCCCAGGGCCCACATGAGGCCTGTTGGTCTTGTGCACTTCTAAAATCCTGGTGAGCTTTGGTGAGATTGCAGGTGGAGACAGAGCATACTCTCATATTTTCTGGATGTCTTGCCTGGATTGCTAGCCTGGGGCTTGCATTCATGAATGAGATTCAGCCATATAACTAAGGCTGAGGGTGAGGGTCGACACCCAAGTCTGTACTCCAATCACCACACCTACACACTGGCACGTATTTATCTGAAATCATACATACTTACAAATACACTGCACATAACATGCAGTTACATATATGTAAAAATATTAGTTTTCAGGCTGTTAATCCTGTTTACTAGTATGTTTGGGACAAGGTGTCTGCTGGGAAGAGTGTGGGCAAAACTCTCCCAAACTTTGCTGAGAAAATCACCTCAGAATGGCCTTATAGACATGCTTCTGTTTAGCAGGTTTATTTCCCTCTTAATGAGTTCCACCTCTGTGGTGAATCCCTAGGTAGGTGGAAGTTACAAAAAGAAAGTGTTTGTTCCAGAGTTTGCCAATCAGAAACCCTGAAATTAGGAACTTTTAGCTGTAGTTCAGATGAATCAAAGCTGAGGGGACAATGTTGCTCCCTAGTGTCCTATAAAATGACTCAGAAATACCCTTGAGTATAAAGAGTTTCAACATGTGCATGTGGACACACTATCAAATCTTCAAGGCCCCAAAATATGATGACTTCTGAGATTGATGGCAACTTAATGCTTAGACATGGAGTACATTTCATGTTTGCCCAAAGCAACTCCTTGGGAGAGAGTGCTATGAAATGAAATGCCTAATTTTTTTTTTTTTTTTTTTTTTACAAAAAACAGGCCATTGTACTTTAGGTTTAGGGGAACAAATGAAATAGGAGCATTAAGTGCTCAAAACAATCAGTTACTGCAAGCATCATAACAAGTGTGTGCAAAACTCGCCATTTCCCCCTCTTATGTGATTGGATGTGTGTGTGTGTGTGTGTGTGTGTGTGTGTGTGTGTGTGTGTTGCATGTGTGTGTTGCATGTGTGCATGTGTCTGTGCCTGTTGCATGCTTTGCATATTTTTTTGTGCAGACATGAGGGAAAGAGGAGGATATTGGTGTCTTGCATCATTCTCTAACTTATCCACTTGACATAAGATCTCTGACTGACCCTGGAGCTGGTCTGGCAGCCAACAAGTCCAATTGGTAGCCTGTTCCACCCACAGTACTGGGGTACATGTGCATGTGTCCATGCCCAGTTTTTTATGTGGATGCTGAGGATTCAAACTCAGGTTGATCTGTGTTGGCAGCAAACATTCTTATTGACTGAGCCATCTCCCAAACCACTGGCTTTTTAAATTTTTATTTTTAAATAGAACTATGAGTGAGTCTTCACTGAATGTTACATAGATTGAGACAAGTTGAAACTACCAAAGTAAAAACTTTTTAAAACAGGGGTCAACGTTGAATTACATAAATGCAAAAATGTCACTTAGTGCACAAATAACAAATCTTTCAAGAAAGATGCTCTAAGGACCAAACTCACCCCTCACTGCATGTTTTTATTCTAAAGGCTCTCTGAAAACCCTCATGTTACAACAGAGGACACGACCACCACCTCTGCTATTAAGGTAAAATTCTCCTTTGTGAAATTTGTTTCCTTATGAATTTTGTTAAAATGCAGCAGTACTCTACCTATCACAGATTTATATGGAAATTTGGTCAGAGAAAAGTGTTTGGTATCAGTGAACCATCCTTTCTGTAAATTCCAGTGAGCATTAAGTTCTTGCAGATAGCGGTGGCCCAATAGGAGAATGAACTGGAAACACAGGGAGGGAAAGATTGAGTGCAGTTCTCATATATTAGAAGATGCCTGGTGCTTGATCAAGGATGGTTTGCAGAAATAGATACACATTAGACTGATTTTAAAAACAACTGTGGAGGCCGGGCGGTGGTGGCGCACGCCTTTAATCCCAGCACTCAGGAGGCAGAGGCAGGCGGATGTCTGTGAGTTCGAGACCAGCCTGGTCTACAAAGGGAGTTCCAGGACAGGCTCCAAAGCCACAGAGAAACACTGTCTCGAAAAACCAAAAAAAAAAAAAAAAAAAAAAACAACTGTGGTGATACATCTGAATACATTTTAGAGGGTCCGGTTATTGTAGTGGTCCAGGCATCACCCAGGTGCCTTTTCTCCCAGCATAATTGCAGGTAGGTTTTCTCTCCCCTTGGATATTCCTATTTCACGATCACAGATAAAAGCATCTCCTCTGTTTGTCTCTTTTCTTCTGTATTTACATTAGCAAGAAATTTTGGAAATTTAGCTATTTGTAATCTGTTCAACCAAGTTTTCATTATGAAGAGATTACAGTCTGTTTTCTATTTGATTCCACTAGGAGGATATTGACAACTCTTCCTCCAGGTACACGGTAAGTATTTTTCCCCAATTAGCCAGCAATTGTAGATGTGAAGATTCAATTACCATATAGTAACACTTTGGTTTCTGGATATTTGCTCTGTATTTGACAATAATATACACTCTGATTCTTTGTATCATGTTCACCTATTTAAAATATCTTATGGTTATACTTAGCATTTATGTGTTCATAGTAAAGTGACCTCATCACTGTGAGCTGCTGGAGGTTAGGAATCCTGTTTGTAACCTGGAGCCTTAGAGTAAGTGTTGTGTGAATCAGAAGTTGAATATTAATGACTTTTGAATGGGACTCAGCAGAAAAATGGGTTTCTATAAAGCAGTTTCACAGATACTATGATATGGAGGACACTAGTAAGTGAGAGTATATTTATAAGTTGAAAATAATATACATTTTGCCTCCCAAACATAGACGAGAAACACTGATGAAGGGGGGCTATTAAAAGTAATAATCATCTCAAATAAGATTCAGAAAATTTAAAATATAGTGAGTTAAGTTTAGTCTCAATCACAGGGAAAGGCCAAATTTCTCAATTCATGATTTTCTCAATCTAGCTAGTAAGGAATAAAGTAGTTTTGATATTGTGCACCTCAAATCAAGAGTTCATTTCCTAATCAAACTAGGAAAATTGATCCTCTGTCTTTTCATTGCAGATCATAGAGAAAGAAATGTTGTATTCCAAGAAGATCGCTGCAATGAAGAAGCGGGACCAAGCAGGTCTTAGCAGATCAAAATCAATGATAGACCTAAGTACTCTGGGAGAGGCACTCCCTGAAGTCTCTAAAAAGAAATCATGCTTGATGGTAATTCCTATTAATTTAAAAAGTAACATATTTGCCTGTGAGGAGAATGTTGACTTTGTGTTTCTAAGTCTGTATAGTTGCAAATCATGTCAGGGAAGACAAAGCCTTGAACATACCTTTCACCTCCATCATACTCTCATTCCTACGAATACCCATGCTAGCCTGTCCCCTTCTAAGACAGTAGTTCTCAATATTCCTTATGCTGTGAACATTCAACACAATTTCTCATGTGGTGAGCCTAACGGTAAAATGATTTTTGCTGCTCCTTCATAACTGTAATTTTGCTAATGTGATGAATCATAATGCTGATATCTGTGTTTCCACATGGCCTTAGATGATCTCTGTAAAAAGGTCCTATGATCCCCAAATGGGTTCACAGGTTGAGAATCCCTGTTCTAAGGTGTAAGTGATAGCAAATTAGACTATGGAAACAAAAATCAGAAAGTGAGTAACTTTTATCACAGTTGTGGAGGACTCATGAAATACAGAGAATAAAAACTAAAGACTCCTGGAGTCATAACTGTCAACGTGAGTGCACATAACATACATACAATGTTTTAAACTGATTTATTTTATGTGTATAAATATTTTGCATGCATTCTCTCCATTCACCTTGTGTGTGTGCTGCCCACAGACACCCAAGACAGCATTCGATCTCCTGGAATTGGTGTTCCAGATGGTTGTCAGCATATGTGTGGGTGCTCGAATCTAGTCCAGGTCTCTGCAAGAGGAACAAGTGTCATAAACTACTGAGCCATCTTTCCAGTCCCCAGAATGAATCTGTTTGGTACACAAATAGAGTATATCATCAGTGGAAATGAGTAGTCAGTCTCAGGATGTTTACTAAACTGCTAGCCTTAGGCCACTTTGACACATTGAAATCCAGAGAACACAGAGGCAGCACAAAGAGCAATAGGAGGCTGGGCATGTTGGTGCACACCTTTAATCCCCGTAATCAGGAAGCAGAGGCTGACTGTTCTCTGTCAGTTCAAGGACACCCTGGTCTCTATTTATTTGAAGGATGGGGGGAGGCAAGGAACATGTGCACCAAGCAGAAGTGTGGAGGTCAAAGGATAATGCATATAGGAGTAAGTTTTCTCATTTCAGGCTCAGGTATCAAATTCAAGTTGTCAGTCATGCTGGCAAGTGCCTTCATCCATTTAGCCATCACACTGGCTCTCTGATTTACACTTGGACTGAAATTTTGTAGCACTCACACACACCACCAGCACCACCTGCACTACCACCACCATCAAACAAGAGAAAAAGAGTGACAGAGAGAGAAGGGATATCATGTGTTTGAATACTTTGTTACAATTTAGGAGATTGGTTAACCTTTGGGATGGGATTTGGTCTGGTTAGCAGAAGGTTGTCTGTGGTGGGTCTTAATGGTTATCACTACTTCTGGAATCAGTTCTGAGTTGTCTCCTTCCCTGTCTACCAGCATGTGAGAAGCAATAGACCGTTGCCACAGACAAAGCTTCCCTGTTTGCTTTACCTACTTCAACTGATGCAGGGAAAGTCAGTCAGTTAGAGCAGGGAAGGCAAACAGTAGTTCCCTGTAGACATGAGCCTCTCTCCCTTGCTTAAATAATCTCTGTCAGATATTTTGTCACAGCAACTATAAAAGTAATAGCCTTCTTTGTTTTTTATTTATTTATTTTACTTTTTCTCTTATTCTTTAAGACAATCTTTTTTATTTTACATACCAATCCCAATTCCCTCTCCCTCCCTTCTGCCTGCTCTCCCAACTCCCCACCACCCCACTCCACACTATCCCACTCCCCATTCATTCCTCATAGAGGATGAGGTCTCCCACAGGGAGTCAACAAAGTCTGTCATATCCCTTGAGGCAGGACTAAGGCTATCCTCCCTGTATCTAGGCTGAGCAAAGTATCCCTCCATAGGGAATGGGTTCCAAAAAGCCAGTTCACACACTAGGGGTAAATAAATACTGGACCCACTGCCAGTGGACTAACAAAACTGACCAAACCATATGACTGTCACCCACATTCAGAGGGCCTAGTTTGGTCCTGTGCCAGTTCCCTAGTTGTCAGTCAGGAGCCAGTGAGCTCCCACAACCTTGGGTCAGCTGTTTCTGCAGGGTTTTTTCTTTCTATAATCGATCTCATATTTGATCACAAAGCAAATCTCAACAGATTAAAAAAAGTGGAAATAACCCTGTGTCTTATTGGATCACCTATGGGTTAAAGTTAGAATTCAACAACACTAATTGCAAAAAGACATTGTGTCTTTTTTTCCATCTTTCCATTATAGAGAGGTAGCAAAGAACAGTAGAAAAGAAGGCATAAAGCTGAATAGGTCCCCTTTTAAGATTCTCAAACTCTGGGCCTTTGACTAAACCAATGGAAGCAAAAGTTTCAGGATATCAGCGGTTATAGTGATAAAATTAGCCTGAGAAAACAAACATTTGGGGACTCTAAATCAAGACCCTGACATTAACAGATAAGTTCTAAAATGAACAAAAAATAAGTGAAATTTTCAATGAAATCTAACATCTCAAAATTTCCTTAAAGGTTGAAACAAAGAAGGGAGAAGGTTTCCTTCCTCCATCCAATATGCATGACATCTTGCCCCAGCCTCCTGCCCATGCTGATGCCACATCAACTTCTCATGTTAGTGAAACAGGTGACAATCGTCAGTCATCCGAGGAAACTACTGTTAACACCACCAGCGTGGATCACACACCTTCTCTAGGTACTTATACTGGGCATGCAAGGGGGAGAACACATGCTGTCCCTGAGCTTGCTCCTGGTAGCCACACTGGTGACACCATGGACCCTGTGCAACATTCTGACCCTGTTCTTGATACCTGCTTAGAAGAGAACACAGTGTCTTAGCTTCACTACTGACCAGAAATCTGCTCTTGTTTGTATCCCAGGTGACGCGTTGGACCCTCAGAATGCCCATATGCGGGTTCTTGCTTCAAGTCCTGCTCATGGCACCAGCTATGCAGCGAATACTCCCGTCATGGTTTTTCCAATTTGGGCAGCAACCACATCCTTGCTCCTCCTAACATCGTCAATGTGGTTGCTGCAGTTGGTGGCTTTGACGATGCCGTGGGTATGGAACCTAATTTAGAAATCCTGCACAGTTAAAGTTAAAGGAGCTTAACAAGGTGAGTTAGACCACACCAATGGCTTAAAATAGATAAATATTTCTGTGCGGGAAATCCAATTCTCTTTGGCTCTAATATGCATGATGATAAATAAATTTCATACTTTGTATAGGACTCTTTAGATATTACCTATAACTAGAAAAAAATGATTATCTTTTCTAGTCATATTGAAAATGCATCACATAAAATTAACAAAATCAGTTTAGTCCAACCAAACTGATCAAGTAAAGTTGGTCAGCACACAGTTGCCTCCCATTCTGGAATGAGGAAATGATTTTCACTCTTAATGTGAAACTTGTATTTTCTGAATGGCTAAGCAGGGAAATGTAACTGTTAGATATTAGTTGTTATTTTTCTGTGTCCATACACTGTGACTTATGTGGACAGCATTATTTTGGAAACAAACACCCCAAAAGAAACAACCTCTGAGAATAAAACCAATGAAACAAGACTCCACATTCTCACCATTCTCAAATACAATGATACTCATTGTGACATGACACTACATAGGATTCTACGGGTGATGCTTCTGTTACTGCTCATCTTGACGATGCTACCAATGATGTTCTTGATACTACTGATAATTCTTGCTTTTCTTTTTAGTTTCTGCTGAACAACCTATGAGGAGCTCCTGTCATCAGGTGTCAGAAATATTTTTTGAGGTTTTCTTTCCTTTTATTGTTTGAAGAATATTTTCAGTTTACTCTTTGACATTTTAATGTATGTAATTCAGATCATCCATGTTGCTCATATCCTCCCCATTTCTGTCATCTGCCTCCATCCCATCCCCTAACTTGTCTTCATCCCATTTTTGTATCATTTATCTTAAGGAGTAAGACTTCCAGTAGGATCCCCCACAGCCAAGTGCATGTGGACATTATCAGTTGGACCAAGTGAGTTATTAAAAAAGGGAGGGAGACATAACATCCATCTTTCACCACTTTTGCAGATAAATTACATATAGTGTTTTGTTCCTTGAATTACTGGCCAGGCATTAAAACATTAAATCTTATCTAATTCTATAGACCTTATTATGCTTTCAGTACATGTAAAGCTTGCTAAACTTTCATTCACCTATTTAAACATGTACTGTACATGCATCCCCAGAGAGAGGACACAACTCAAGGGGATACACAATTCAATAGAAATTTGACTTTATCTAGTGGAACATACTGATAAATTCTGAAAGATAAACAAAAACACTTTGCTACTTGGACTTTCTCTCTTAATCCTTGATCAGAAGCCTCCTAGTTGTGTGGAATTCTAAGGAGGTTAAGGATCTGTAATGGAGAGTTGAAAGGAGCAAAGGGTCAAAAGTATTTCCAAGAGGTCAATAAATTCATTATTCTGCCATCCGATAAAATATTGAAATCAATTTCTGCCTAGAATGAATTTCGTGACATTTCCAGAAAATGAGTAGAGTTGCTCATTTGTAACAAAAGATTACAAATATTAGATGCTGAGTTTGCCACATCTTTATGAATACAAATATAGATATGTATGGGTTCCTTGGCACCCTATTGTTCAACATTCAGGAATGAAAAATTCCACTGAGAATTGTTGAGGCTAAGAGGCTCAGCTAGGGTTAGAATATAAAAATCAACATGGCATATGTGTGTGGGGGGGTTATGTATGTATATATGTACAATTAAAATACCTGGTCCTTTAAATGAGCTCAATTGTAGTCAGAATGCATGATTTTAAAACTGTATTTTTAAGGAAGCATGTGGAATATACTGCAGGGGAGGAAAGAATACTATCAAAATATATCATAAAAATAAACTAGAATGTATTTCTGGTAGCATATAGTAATCTAGTTCCTTCTTAGTTCACCTCCTTTTGTAGTATTCTAAAAAACCTATTAACCTGTTGTACATTATTTTTAAAAAATTAAAGATATTAAACACCTTTAAAAATGATGTTTTTATGATGTTATTACATTGGCTTTCAAGTGACAATCTGTCAGAAATATTTTATAAAATTTAGAAATTTTCCTCATTTAGACCTTGGGAGCTCAGTCCAGTGCTTCAATGTGGGTCTCTGTCTCCATCTCAATCCATTGCCAGATGAAGGTTCTATGGTGATATGCAAGATATTCATCAGTGTGGCTATAGGATAGGGCCAGTTCAGGCTCCCTCCCCTCAGCTGCTAAAGGAACAAGCTGGGGACATCTCCTTGGATACCTGGAAACTTCTCTAGAGTCCAGTCTCTTGCCAACCCTAAAATGGCTCCCTTAATTAAGATATATACTTCCCTGCTCCCATATCCACTCTTCCTCCATCCTCAACCGTCCCATCCCCCCAAGTTCTCCCCATCCTTCCCTTCTCACTTCTCTCTCCCCCTCTCCCCTTACTCCCACCTTACCCCCACCCTCAAGCTCTCAAATTTTCCTGGCTATCTTGTCTACTTCCAATATCCGGGAGGATAACTACATGTGTTTCTTTAGGCTCACCTTCCTGTTTCGCTTCTCTAGGATCACGATGTATAGGCTCAATGTCCTTTATTTATTGCTAGAATCCACTAATGAGTGAGTACATACCATATTCATCTTTTTGGGTCTGGGTTACCTCACTCAGGATAGTGTGTTCTATTTCCATCCATTTGGATGCAAAATTCAAGATGTCATTGTTTTTTACCACTGAGGAGAAAGAACATGAGCAAGGAAGTCAGGACCACAAGGGGTGTGTCCACCCACTGTGACAGTGGGTCTGATCTAATGGGAGCTCACCAAGGCCAGCTGGACTGGGATTGATGGAGCATGTGATCAAACCGGACTCTCTGAACATGGCTGACAAGGAGGGCTGACAGAGAAGCCAAGGACAATGGCACTGGGTTTTGATTCTACTGCATGTACTGGCTTTGTGGGAGCCTAGTCTGTTTGGATGCTCACCTTCCTAGACCTGGATGGAGGGGGAGGACCTTGGACTTCCCACAGGGCAGGGAATCCTGACTGCTCTTTGGACTGGAGGGGAGGGGGAGGGGGAAAAAGGGAAGGGGGAGGGAAATAGGAGAGGAGGAGGTGAAAAATTTTAATAATAATAATAATAATTAATAAAATTCTTACTCTCAGAAAAAAATTAGAAATTTTAATGTTAAATATTTCTCTGAAAATTGATACAGTATATATTGAATTTTGTATATAAGTTTTTAGTAGCTTTTCATTAAAATGTACTATGAAAATATTTTAAACTGTTTCCTTGTATTGTACAAGCTGATGGCATGACCTCTTGGTGACATGTTTAAGGAGAAAGCTTCCATTATACCTATCAGAGATAGAACAAACAGCGGCATATCAAATCACCCAGAGCAGAAATAGATGTTGGTGAACATAGTCAACTGCACCTGCCTATGAGAGAGCAGAAGCAGAGCAGAGAGGCAGATGGAGAGAGACAGAAGAGGGGACACAGAGAGAGGGAGAGCAACATAGGGACAGGAGGAGACAGATAGATAGGTTTAGAAAGAGAATGAGAAGCTGGGAGAGGGATGCTTCTGAACTAGAGGGAGTTTAGGGTAGGAAGCAGGGTAGAAGTGTTGTATCATTTGTTCTTTTTATTTTTTTTTTTTTAGTTTTAGAGATGGTTACAGTCCAGAGATTGTCTTGAGTCTTAGAAGAGATGTTGAACTTTTGAACAGTGTCGAGACTGAGAGACTCTGGAGACTTTGAAGCTGGACTAAATGCAGTCAGCATTGTGACATTGTGAAAGAATGTCTGGAAGAAACTACATGAAGCTGAAAGAGTTGATCGCCTAAAGCTGCAATGATGTGGAGGGGTGGGAATGTTGCAGGTCCAGGGCCCCTTTACAATTTATTTGGGGCAATCTTTAGCCTGGTAAATAGCTATTCCTTACTCTCTGTGTGTCAGACCAAACATCCTGACAAAGAGATAGAAACCGTTTGGAAGTTATGAGCTTAACAAAGTGCCAGTTCTCCTCCCCTAGGAGTAGACCTTGAGAGTTTAATGCCCCAGTCTCTGTTTTAAGCTAGTTGTTGGGATATGATCTCTCAGCTTCCTGTTCCTGCTGACACGTCTGCCACTTGCCGCCATGCTTTTCCACCACGATGAACTCTTATTCTTCTGGAGTGAAAATAAACTCTTTCTTCCACGAGTCACTTCTGGTCACGGTGTTTTGCCGCAGCCACGGAGACATACTAATGCTTTGTGTCCCTCTGTAAACCTCTTTCTGCCTCCTTCTACAGACCAAGGAATCTGAATCATTCGCTCAGGTCCCCACATTTCCCACTGTCAACTCTACTGAGATATTGTGGGAGAGTAAAATGACTAAAGGCTGTCCAAAGACCTGCCCACTGACTCCCTCCGTGTTCTGATCATATATAAGAAAGGCAAGCCAGGCGTGGTGGCTCACACCTTCACTCAACAACTGGGAGGCAGACGCAGGTGGATCTCTGTGAGTTTAAGGTCAGCCTCGTCTACAGAGTGAGTTTCAGGACAGCCAGAACTGTTACACAGAGAAACTCTGTCTCAAAAAGGAAGGAAAAGGGATGGATTGAAGAAAGGAAAGAAGGAAGGAAAGAAGGAAGGAAGGAAAGAAGGAAGGAAGGAAGGAAGAAAAGCTAAACCTCAAGGTTGATCCTTTAAAATTGGATCTGTAAACCCTGTCTGAAAGAGCGATTGCAGTCAAGAAGCCTTAGAGATGTCCAGTACATAATAGGTGATCAATAAATGTCACTTATGGAGCAAAGAATCCTAAGTGAAAGGCTTACAGATTTCAATAAGATTAGGCTCAAATAGCCGTCTTGAAAAATAAGCTTTGGGAATTATTAGAGCTGTTTTCTTTGTGGAAATCTATTGAACATAGTGGAGTTCTGTCAGTCTTCGAGGTGACAGTATTTTACTTGGCATTGAACTTCCTGTCTCAAGCCACCACGAGTGTCTAGATACAATTGCTCATGTTTTTGTGCCTACATCCTCAGCATCCTTGCCCAGAACCTTCTGCCAGTTGATCCTACCCTTCCTATGCA